TGTGTGTGTGTTGTGTACCGGTGCTGGCCAGAAATGGTTTAAAAACAAAAAATCAAGTGGTAGAGCAGTAGTCTTAAGCAAAAGAAAACCCAAACAACAACAAAAATCAGGGACAGTGATATACACCTGTAATTCTAGCTACTCAGAAGGCTGAGATCGAAGGATCACAGTTCAATGAGACGCTTTTTTTTCTCTCTTTTTGCCAGTGCTGGGGCTTGAACTCAGAGCCTGGACAGTGTCCTTGGGCTTCTTTATCACTTTACCACTTGAGCCACAGTGCCAGTGCCACTTCCAGCTTTTTCTGTGTATGTAGTATTGAGGTATCAAACCCAGGGCTTCATGCATGCTAGGCAAGCACTCTACCACTGAGCTTCCTTCCCAGCCCCCGACTCTTCTCTTCCTCCAGTTAACCTTCAGAAAACTGGAAATGGCACTGTGGCTCAAGTTATAGCGTCCTAGCCTCGAGCAGAAAAGCTCAGGGACAGCGTCCAGGCCCTGAGGTTGAGCCCCATGACTGACCAACAGAAAGGAAGAAAAGCAAACGAAGGTTTTGACTTTTCTCCTGAGACCCCAGCATGCTCCAGGCCAGTGCAGGTGGCCGTCTGTGCCGGTGCGTGCGGCTTTCCTGCCCGCTGGACACCACTTAGTGCCTGCCTCCCACCCCTTCCTTGTGTCCTTGCAGATTATTGGGACTCTGGAGGAGGTCCACATGCCACAGAATGGGATCAACCACCCTGGCGTCACAGCGCTGGCCCAGGCCTTCGCCATTAACCCCCTGCTGCGGGTCATCAACCTAAATGACAACACCTTCACTGAGAAAGGCGCCCTGGCCATGGCTGAGGTGAGGCCACGCTGGAGGGCTGGACCTGGCTCAGCACCGGGGCGGGGCTGTGATGCCCCGCCTCCTCACCCCAGCTCATTTGCATGCATCCACATGGTCTCAGCTCCCCAGTGCCTGTCCCTGCAGCCTCCTGCTCCCCGGTGGCTGCCTGGGGGCTGCAGCCAGCCTTCTCAGTTTTGAGACTTTCTCCTGTGAGTCAGAAGAGGCAAAGAAGGGTTGTAGGCAATGGAGTGATCTGTTGGGTTTATGCTTCAGGAAGAATTCTGGCCAGAACACAGGGCACAAGGTGGTGATGATTCAGCCAGGGGCCCAGGAAGGGCGTGACAAGAGCTGATGAGACATAGAGGTGACAGGGGACACAGAAAACAGTGCGTGGGCATCCCGGATGCCATCACGAGGGCTTCGGGCTGAGGCCACACCCTAGCCTCTGCCCCTTGCTTCCACACAGACCCTGAAGACCTTGCGGCAGGTGGAGGTGATCAATTTCGGGGACTGCCTGGTGCGCTCCAAGGGCGCCGTGGCCATTGCAGACGCCGTCCGTGGGGGCCTGCCGAAGCTGAAGGTGAGCGGTGGTTCTGACTGGAGCTGCTGTCCCGTGTGCAGGCCTCCTGCTTGTGGAGGGAGGCCCCGGCAGCTGAGGGTCTGGTCTGCAGGCAGGTGAGCCTGGACAATTCCAGCACCTCTACTTGTATGGTATTTGCGTCTCTTCACCCCTTTGAGCCAGTTTCTTCATGTTAAAAACAGGAGGTGTGTAGCCGGGCGCAGGTGGCTCTCACCTGTCATCCTGGCTACTCTGGAAGCTGAGATCTGAGGATCGTGGTTCAAAGCCAGCCACAACAGGAGAGTCTGTGAGACTCTTGTCTCCAATAAACCACTCAGAAAACAAGAAGTGGCGCTGTGGCTCAAGTGGTAGAGTTTCACCTTCAGCTGAAGAGCTGAGGGACAGTGCCCAGGCCCAAAGTTCAAGACCCAAGAAAAACAAGAGTGGTGGTGTCTACCATTAGTTACTGTAAAGTTTTCTGTAGGTCCAGGGCCTTCAACTGAGCGCCTCACATTCTCGCTTGGTTATTGTCTCATAGCTGGTGCTTGGGCCATGTCTCCATTTCTGGCTTTTTGCTGGCTAATTAGAGATGAGAATCTCAGACTTGTCTGCCTGAGCTGACTTTGAATGCAATCCTCGGATCTCAGCCTCCTTGAGTAGCTGGGATGACAGGTGTGAGCCACCAATGCCCGGCCCTGGTATTGTTTTGATTGTTGGTGGCCTACCTTTCTGCCCACACCTACCCTGCTGTGGGACAGCCAGGTCTTCCCTCCCTCCACCCCGTCCTTCTGCTCTCAGGAGCTGAACCTGTCCTTCTGTGAGATCAAGAGAGATGCGGCCTTGGCCGTGGCTGAGGCTGTGGCAGACAAGACGGAGCTGGAGAAGCTGGATCTCAATGGTAGGTGGGGTGGGGGAGGTGTGCCTCAGCCCCCCCTGCCCTGCCCACCCCGCCCAACTCCACCCTCACCGCCCTCCTACCTGGGACAGGCAACGCCCTGGGAGAAGAGGGCTGCGAGCAGCTTCAGGAGGTCCTGGATGGCTTCAACATGACCAAAGTGCTGGCTTCCCTCAGGTAAGGAGCGGCCGCCGCACCTGTCTCTCCTTCCTCTCTCGCCCAGAGTCTGTGGGTTGAGCTCAGGGTCTTTCAGGTCTGTGTGGAAGCAAAGGTCAGAGGCCCAGCAGCCCTGGTGACGTTAGCAGTGACGTCCCGAGTCAGCTCCACATCTCCTCAGCTCTTCCCCTTCCTGGGCCCCTGGCTCAGTCACCACCACCTGTGTCCCTTGTTCTGGCCAGAATTCTGAACCATAAATCAAACACATAACTCCATTGCTCACAACCCTCCCTGGGTCCTTGACTCACAGGAGAAAGCCTCAAGCACGAGAAGGCCCCAGTGTGTCATCTCCCTTTCTTGCTCTCCATCACTCCTGGAACACCTGTTAGAACCCAGATTATAACAACCAGGATCAAAGAGGCAGGGACCCATCTCAAGTCCCTGGGCCTTCCATATTGCTCTGTCTTCCTGTAACACTTCAGACACCTGTGCCAAGTGCTAGGGTGAAACGGCTGAGGCAGCAAGATAGAAATGAGCCAGACGCCGGTGGCTCACGCCTGTAATCCCAGCTACTCAGGAGGCTGAGATCTGAGGATTGCGGTTCAAAGCCAGCCTGACAGGAATGTCCAAGAGACTCTTGGCTCAAGTGGTAGAGCGGTGGCTTTCAGCTAAAGAGCTCAGAGACAGCGCCCAGGCCCAGAGATCCAGACCCATAACGGACAAAAAAACTGTGTGTATGTGCATGCTTGTGTGTGTGTGTGTGTGTGCCCGTGCGCGCGCGTGTTTGTGAGTGTGTGTGCGCAGGGCAGGAAAGCTGGTATGAGGTCTGGTCCTGACATAGGAAACAGCAGGTCTGGAGGGTGGGGGTGGGGCCTGACCTGCCAGGAGACAGGTTTGTGTTGTTCTCCAGAGGCTGACTAGAAAGGATGAGGTAGTGAGAACTGCGGGGTGTGCCCTGTCGGTGGGGCTGGGCCGGGCCCTTGTGGAGGCCCGAGGCTCCGCGGGGCCAAGCCTCCAGTGCGCACAGTGAAGAGCAACGGGAATGGCTTTCCTCCAGGCAGGAGTTCTCCGCCTTCTCCTTCTACACACAGCTCTCCTATGACGTGAGCTTGCGTGGCTCTGCCGTGGACAGCTCAGCCTGCCACTTCTCCCAGATCCTTTCCTCCACATCCACGGGGATCTGGGGCTTGTTCGGGACAGGGTCCATCCCGCGTGGCCTCCCTGGACAATGAGAGAATGAGTGATGTGCTCCCTGCTGATCCTCGTGCTCCCTTGGGGCAGGCCCCCCCCCCACCCTCTGAGCTAGCCTGGGCCGCGTGGCAGGGAGGGTCTCACAGAGCCCGCTCCTCTCCGCAGTGATGATGAGGGCGAGGATGATGAGGAAGACGACGAGGAGGAGGGAGAAGAGGACGAGGAAGAAGAGGAGGAGGAGGAAGAGGACGAAGAGGAGGAAGAGGATGAGGAAGAAGTGCAGCAGGAAGGGCGAGGAGAGGAGTCAGCCACCCCACGGAAGATTCTGGACCCCAACAGTGGGGTGAGTTCTCTTTTGTTTTGTATTTTGTCAGTCATGGGGCTTGAACTCAGGGCCTGGGCGCTGTCCCTGAGTTCTTTCTGCTCAAGGCTAGTTCTCTCCACTTTGAACCACAGCTGTATTTCTACGTTTCCTGGAGATGCATTTCTCACCAACTTTCTTACCCGGCTGGGTTCAAAGTACAATCCTCAGTCTCAGCCTCCTGGGTAGCTAGGATTACAGGCATGAGCCACTGGGGCCTGGCTTGTTTATTCACTTTTGTAATGCAACTGTACATAGGTACATAGTATGTATATAGGCAAAATTGTAAGGTCTGGAGGCATGGTTCAGTGACCAGAGTGCTTGCTTACTAGTAATTAGGCCCAGAATTTTAAACTGTCAGTAGTGGCAGAAAAAAAATAATAACAGCCTGGTGCTGGTGGCTTACTCCTGTAATGCTAGCTACTCAGGAGGCTGAGATCTGAGGATCATGATTTGAAGCCAAGAAGAGCCTCTGAGGCTCATCAGTGACCTACTCGGAGCTGAAACCGATGCTGTGGCTCAAGTGGTAGAGCACTAGCCTTGAGCAGGAGTCAGGGACAGTGCCCCAGCCCAGTTCTGAACTGGCCATGAATGTGACAGATTGATTTGGTGTTCCCCAATTCATCTGTCATCCAAGATCCTAAAGAAGCTCTCAGAACGCCCCACTCACGTCTCTTTGGGCTTCTCTGGTCTGCAAGCTGGGAAAGCAAGGCACTTCTCAGATGTGGGTGTTTGCTTGGTGCTTGCAGGCACCCAAACTGTGCTGCGGTTCCTAATGGAGTCTGTTTAGCCCCCGTGTACGCCATCACTGGGGCATTGTGTGGCGTGATGAAGAGCACCTTGAAGTCCTGGGGAGGGGCTTACCCTGTACCCCCAAGGCTTCAGGACCAGGAGTCAGCACCAGCATCGTAGACACCCCCCTCCTTTGGGGGCTGCACTTAGCAGGGAATGATTTTTATTTGTAATTTTTTTCTGCTGGGTCATGGGGCTGGAACCCTGGACCTGGGCACCACTGTCCCTCAGCTCTTCCGCTCAAGGCGAGCTCCCTACCACTTGAACCACAGGGCCATTTCCAGTGTTCTGGTGGTTTAGGGGAGATAAGAGTCTCATGAACTTCCTGCACGGGCTGGCTTTGAGCCATGATCCTCAGAGCTCTGCCTCTTGAGTAGCTAGGATTCCAGGTGTGAGCCCTCAGTGCCCGGCTGGGAGTGATACTTCTACACCTCGACCCCAGCGGGCTCCAGTGAGGGGAGGGTGGAGGAAGGATCTGGGCTTAGGTCCTTAGAACGGCTGTGTGTGTTGTTCAGGAGCCGGCCCCAGTGCTGTCCTCGCCACCCCCCACAGACGTGCCCACCTTCCTGGCATTCCCCTCCCCGGAGAAACTGCTGCGCCTCGGGCCCAAGGGCTCCGTGCTGATAGCCCAGCAGGTAAGGCTGCCTCGACCACCCCCGGCCCTGCGCGTGTCGCCCCAGCAAAGGGCTGCGTCTCGAGCCACCTGGATGCCGTCAGGCAGGGGCCTGAGCTGCCCCGACTTTGAGACGGGGGAAGCGCTGGGTCGGTTTGCACTCGGCCTCAGAACTGCCAGCGACTCTTCCCTGTGCAGCCACGCTTCCAGCCGGGGTTTTTTGAGAGTTTTTTGTGGGGGGAGGCGAGAGGCGCGGGCAGTTCTGGGGTTTGAACTCAGGAGCCGCAAGCTTGCTAGGCAGGGCCAAGCCTGCAGCCAGCCCTTTCAGCTTCTATCATTTTTGAGTGGGGTTTGCATGGATGCCAGGCTGCGTGACGATCCTCTCATTTCCGGTTTCCTCACAGCTGACTTGATAGACACTGCCACTGCACCATCTTTTTTTTTTTCTTTTTTGTTGGTCATGGGGCTTGAACGCTGGGCCTGGGCGCTGTCCCTGAGCTCTTCGGCTCAAAGCGGAAGGCTCTGGCTGTCATGGTATCTAACGCTTATTCACTCATTCCACCTGCTGTGGGCAATCCAGCCAGACACAGGGGAGCCTGCCGTGAGCTGAGAACTGGCCTAGCTGCCCACGTCCCATACTCTGCCAAGACCTCTTCTCCCCAGTCTCCCCCATGTGTTTGAGCCCCGGGGCTCTGGTTCTTGTCACCAGCTGCTGTCTCTGTGTTGCTAGACTGACACATCGGACCCTGAGAAGGTGGTGTCTGCCTTCCTGAAGGTGGCATCCGTGTTCAAGGATGAAGCTTCTGTGAGGGCCGCCGTGCACGATGCAGTAGGTAATGCAGGCGCTGGGGGGCTGGGCGGCTCATCCCCCAGTGCTTGGCGCCGCAGATGACGCTGTGTGGAGCCTCTGTGAGCCCCCAGTGGTTCCATCGACTGGTTTTTGCCATGGGCTAGCCTGTGTGCTGTCAGTTTCCAGCTGGGGAAACAGATCTTTCCCAAAACCACGTAGCTATATGTTGTTAGAGCTCATCCTAGGAGCAATCAGTGTAGGGCTTGCCTGCCTAGAAGGCCATAACAAGGTCCTGTGTTCAAGTCATGACACATCCTATCAGGAGGTTTGGGCTGAGCCCTTGGGGGTCAACACATCGCTCATGAGGCTTCCTTCATTGGCACCACCCTCTCCTTTCCCATTCTGTGACATAAAGATGGCCAGGCAGGAGGCTCTAGAACCATCTTTGGGAAGCTGAGGAGCATCTGTGGAAATAAGAAGCCTGCATTCTTCCCTCTCCTTTTTTTTTTTTTTTTATAAATTTTTATTTTTATTTTTTGTGAACATACTGTACAGAGGGGTTACAATTACATGGGCAAGATAATGAGTACATTTCTTATCAAGCATTGCAGCCTCCTCTTTTTTTTTTTCTATTGTTGTAAGGCCTGAATTTCTTTTTTATCATTTTTGTTGGTCATAGAGCTTGAACTCAGGGCCTGGGCGTTATCCCTGAACCTTTTCACTCTGCCACTTTGAGCCACAGCACTATTTCTGGCTTTCTGATGGTTAATTGGAGATGAGTCTCATAGATTGTCCTGCCTAGGCTGGTTTTGAACCATGATCCTCAGATCTCAGCCTCCTGAGTAGCTAGGATTATAGGCATGAGCCACTGGCGCCCAGCTGAAGCCTGAATTCTTTTCCACAGAATAGCAAATAGCCTGGCACAATCCCAACTGGTCCCTTTGCTTCTCTCTCTCTCTCTCTCTCTTTGCTTCTCGCTCTCTCACACACACACAATGGGGCTCTCCATCACACATTGGGCTGTCCCCACTGCATGAGGTACATACTGTGGGCCTTTCACCACACCCATTTTAGCCTGTGAAGCAAGGTGGGGACAGTGAGCCCTTCCCCCTTCGCGGCTGGCAGTTGTCCCTTAATCTAGTATCTGTGTCATCTCCACCGTCCCTCCCCACTTCTTGCTAGGGCAAGATGGCAGGAAGACGGGGCTAAGCCTGTGTGCATGAGGTGCGTGGGTGCCCTGGGGCTTGAGCCTATCCACACACACAGCTGCACTTGCTTCTGCCCTTGCAGATGCGCTCATGAAGAAGGCATTCAGCTGCTCATCCTTCAACTCCAACACCTTCCTCACCAGGCTCCTGGTCCACATGGGTCTACTCAAGGTGAGGCTGGGAGCGCAGAGGCCCACGTGGGGAAGCCGCGGTTTTCATAACAGGCCTGCACCACATGGCTTTGTCAGAGTTGGTGGGGATCCAGGGCTGTGCAGGTAACACAGGAGATTGCCCACCCTTTCTGTGTTCTTGCAGAGTGAAGATAAGATCAAGGCCGTTCCCAATCTCTATGGCCCCCTGATGGCGCTGAATCACATGGTGCAGCAGGATTATTTCCCCAAGGCCCTTGCACCCCTGCTGCTGGCATTTGTGACCAAGTGAGAAGAGTCTTATTGTGTGTGTGTGTGCGCGCACGCGCGTGTGTGGGTGCACATGCAGGTGTGTGTGCCAGTACTGGGGCTTGCACTCAGGGTTTAGCTTTTTTGCTCAAGGCTAGCGTTCTACCACTTGAGCCCCAACTCCACTTTGGCTTTTGATGGTGACTTAGAGATAATAGTCACATAGTCTTTCCTGCCCTGGCTGGTTTTGAACAGTGATCCTCAGATGTCAGCCTCCAGAATAACAAAAATTATCTCCCTTGTAGAATGCCTGAAAATCAGAACAATGAGTCTGACCCAGAAATGCCCCCAGTCCAGCTGGCGGTGGGACTCCAGGGGGGGATGTCTGCCCCCCTCACTCACCTGTCTCCCCCACAGGCCCAATGGCGCCCTGGAAACCTGCTCCTTTGCCCGCCACAATCTGCTACAGACACTGTACAAGGTCTAGACTCCACGCGAGCCTCTTCTCATCCCTCAGCCTGCACCTGTGACTGGAGAGACACTGGAGGAACTGAGCCGCAGCCACACCCCCTGGGACAGGCTCCGCCCCGAGGCAGGGAGGGGGTTCGTCTGGTGTGTGGTGTGTGTTGGATGGGTGCGTGGCCAGGTGTGTGCTTCCTGTCGGGATTGGGGGGGGTTCAGTACTCCCTGCTGGACTGGCTCTGCTCCTCAGTGGGGTGCTGGCCCCCAGACGAAAGGGCTGCAAGCCGCTTTGCCATTAAACTCGCCGCCATCCGAGGATGCTCTGCTGACAACTTGCTTCAGGCCTGAGGCCCTGGTGGCTGTCCCTGCCTCCCTGCCCCACTCCTGGGCTGCAGCAAAAACAGCTGCCCGTGTCCTGTGCCTGCCTTTGTGTCGTGGTTGGGCTGTTTCACATCCAGCCTGGGCCTGCAGCCACTGCCTTCATCACCAAACCAATCATGCCTGCTGTGCTGGCCCCTGGGACTGAGAAGAGACTGCGGGGGACTGGAAGGCTGCGGGGGACTGGAAGGCTGCGGGGGACTGGAAGGCTGTCGGCAGTGGTCAAATCCCTGGCCACCTCATGGACCAGAAGAGAGGCTGGGAGAGTGGGGGGGGAGGGGCTGACCCATGACATGGTCCTGGAATAGGGCTGCGCAGGCCCTGGTGTCAGCGGGGCCCCAGCCTTAGGGGTGCCTCTCTGGCTCAGATCTGTTCCCCAGCCTGGGGAAGGCCGGCAGGTCCTCAGGACAGCACGGTATCTCTGCTCCTCAAAGACTCTTTGTGTTGGGGGAGGGATGGGATCGGGGCTGGGCGAGGGCCACGCTGTGGCCTCCCTTGTGGCCATGACCACCTCATGCTTTCCTCTGTGCTATGTGTCTGGGCTGTGCCTGGAGCTTTTGAATAAAGTCGTGTGGTAGCTGTGGTGGCCAAGAGCCTTCTTTCACCTAAAGTGCCACCTTATTGTGTCTCAGCACATACCGGCCCCCACCTGCCTGAGGGCAGCAGCCCCACCCCCGGACTCCCCCACTTCTAGCTGAGTGTGTCAGGAGAGGCAGTGAGGGGCAGCTGACGGGTTGGTGGAGGTGCTGAGGAGGCGCCAGCCTGCTGCCCGTACCTCGCCTCTTACCTAACCTCTGGGCTCTGCTCCTCTAGTAGGTCTCCGAATGCTTTCCAGACTCGGTTCACAGAACTTGCGAGCTTTGCAAGCAGCAGCCCCTGGATCTGCTGGGGTCACGTCTCAAAAACCCAAGAACCTGGGCTTAGTGGTAGAGCACTGGCCTAGCATGCATGAAGCCCTGGGTTCCGCTCCTCATTACCACATACACAAAAAGCCAAAAGTGCTGTGGCTCATGGGGTAGAGTTGTAGCCCTGAGCACAGAGAGGCTCAGGGACAGAGCCCAGGCCCTGAGTTCAAGCCCCACGTCCAACAAAAAAAACCACATAGGTTTAAACACAAACAGAAAGGGTTAACCATTCTTAGCTCCTTACCTTATTCCTTAAGGCAGCCTTATGAACAAGTTACAGTTGCTCAAGTTGCCTAGTATTGTTTTAGAACAGGATCTAATTGTGCAGCCCAGCCTGGCCTACAGTTTGTCTTCCCTACATCAGCCTCCCAAATGCTGGGGTTGCAGCTGTGCACCACCATGCCAGTCCCATTAGATGTTTTTCAGAAATTAGGCAACAGGCTTGGTAACTATACTGAGCCTGCCCCGGACTCCATGGAGCCTAGAGAATCCCAAGGTCTGCTGAGCCACAGGCTGGCTCTTAGGGGCCCTGCCCTGCTGGCCAGCCAGAGGATTGAGGCCTGGGCTGTGCTGCTGGGTCTGTAGTGGACAGGAGGCCCTGGAAAGCCAGCCACCGCTCCCACCCCTGCCCACAGCCTGGGGAAGCCCCAGCGCCCGGGGCTGCTGACAATGCTTTCCATTCAGCCTTGTCCTTGCTGCCAGGCCTGTGGGCCAAGGAGGGGCTCTCGCCGGAGCCCGGGCAGGGACCAGCGCTGGCTTTTCCCTTGTGCTGTGCCTCCGGACAGTGCTGGCAGTTCCCGGGAGCATGGAGGGGTAAGTCTTCGGGTCCCAAGGGTGCAAAGGAGCTGTGGATCCACTGATGGCCACAGGAACAGGGAAGCCTTCTCTGCCTCGGGCTGGTGGCAGGGACTTTGTTTCCTGAACCAGGGACTGTCCAAGATCTCCCACAGGGGTGGGTCCCCGGGACTTGCTCCGGTGGATTGAGGCCTTGCAGCAGAGATCAGAACTGGTCTTTGGATCCCGGATTCCTGTCCTTTCAGGGCTCTGTCTGGTGAGCCCTCTCGCTGCTCTGATATGAGCACAGACTCGAGAAGGCCATTCAGCTCTGGGGGGCAGAAGGGCCCCAAGGATCCAAAAGACATTGAGAAGTAGGTAGTGGCGATCTAGGGAGCAGCAATGGGGGAGGTTTGGAAGACGAATAGCCCAGGCATGGAGGAAGGCTGCTCGGAGGCCTTGTGGGATACAAGCTGAGAACAGGAGGAAAACCTGGGCAAGTTAGATGACCCCGGTAGCGAGGAGAGGACTCAGCGTGTGCAGCAGCAGCAGAGCAGGCAATGTGCTCGGGAAGGATTCAGCCGAGTCACCAGTGTGGGTTTTTGGTAGTCAGGATTGAAGGAGACAGGAAGGTTTGCAGCTGAAGATGTCAGGCTCCTATCTGTGTTCTAAAAATTCTTGTGGGCTGGGAAGGTGGCTCAGTGGTAGAGCGCTTGCCTTGCATGCTTGATGCCCTGAGTTCGATTTCCTCAGCACCACATAAGCAGAAAAAAAAACCGGAAGTGGTGCTGTGGCTCAAGTGGTAGAGTCCTAGCCTTGAGCTGAAGAGCTGAGGCACTGTGCCCAGGCCCAGAGTTCAGGCCCCACAACCGGACCCAAAAATAAATAAATAAAAATTCCTTGTGGTTGCTGGGTGATGAGAGGAACATAAAGGAGGCCAGGAGAGAGCCATGGTGGCAGCGGTGTCCCTAGGGCATGGGCAGTGGCTGTAGTTGTGACATGAAGGGGGTGGATGATGGGCAGGTGGGTGGGGAGATGGACAGATGGACATCTTGCTCAGGGTGCAGTCTGAAAGCCAAACCTCAGTCTCCTATCCCAGTCCATGTCAGCGGATGGCACTGCATTGAAGGGGAGGTAGAAAGTATTAGCTGAGCACTAATGGCTCACACCTGTAATTCTAGCTACTCAGGAGGCTGAGATCTGAGGCTCACGGTTCAAAGCCAGCCCGGGCAGGAAAGGCCGTAAGACTCTTACCTCCAATGAACCACCAGAGAACTGGAAGTGGTGCTGTGGCTCAAGTGGTAGAGTGCTGGCCTTGAGCTGAAGAGCTCAGGGCCAGAGCTCAGGGCCAGAGTTCAAGCTCCATGACCAAGCAGCAAGAAAGTAAACAGGAGGTCTGGGCTGCTTACCTGCCATGTTAGTGTGGCTCTGAACAGCCAGTGAGTCCACTCAGAATCACACACACCACACCCCCGAGGCTGCCAGTGTTGCTTGAAATCTGAACTAAGCCTCCCGTTACCAACTTAAGTTAGGGGCTTTCTGCTAGGGGAGAGTTGGCCCTGCAGCGAAGGACTGGACCAGAGATGGATGGTGCTTGGAACCCCAAAGTCATCCTCACATCCAGTCAGTCCTCATCGACAGAGTCAGGACTCATCAGGCTCATTTGCTGAGCTTCCATTTCCTCCCATATAAATGAGAGTTGATAACAGGAGTGCAAGGGTGAGGGACGTGGGCCAGCCAGGACTCTTTACTGTCCTGGACCCAAAGGTAGAATGTGGGCCGGGAGCCGCACTGCAGCTGGGGCTTAGTTAAGGGCCCCGCTCCAGTGAACCCACGCCTTCTCCCCTCTCCAGGCCTCAGAGCTCCACCCAAGGCCCCTTGGTGCTGCTGCTGCTGCTGCTAGGCCCAGCTTGGCACACGGCCGCTCGCCGCTGCCCACAGAGCTGCGTCTGTGACAACTCCAGGAGGCACGTGGCCTGCCGGCGCCAGAACCTCACGGAGGTGCCCAGTACCATCCCGGAGGTCAGCAGGGCAGTAGCCTGGGCACAGGCTGGCATGGAGGCAAAGGAGGTTGCAAGAGCCTGGTCTGGCCAGGGGCTAGTAGCTCTTGCCTGTAATTCGGCCACTTAGGAAGCTGAGAGCTAAGGCAGAAAAGTCTAAGAGACTCTTTATCAACCACCAAAAGGCAGAAGCAGTAGGACACCAGCCTTGAACAAATAAAGCTCAAGGACAGCTCAGTTCAAGCCCCAGGATAGAGCCCGATCTGACTGAGAGAGCTCTATAAATTCTGTCTTCACATCTGTAAAATGGGAAGCATAATCAGTAATGGTGGATAACAATCCCTGTGTGACTGAAATACCAGTTACCTATAGTCAAACGGGTTCTTACAGGCCCTGTGGCCAAACTGGGGCTGTGCAGGGTAGGATGCAGTCTCTGCCTCCTATGGAGTCATGAGCTAGAGGGAGGGGAGAGGGAAGATGCACAGGAATGACAGGATTGGGGGGGCCTCATCCCAGGGCTGGGGTGCTTGGCGCTGGGGCGCCAGGCTTTGGGGAGGGGCAGGACAGCGCTGTGCCAATCTGCCATGTGTCCCTCCCGCCCCCAGCTGACCCAGAGGCTGGACCTCCAGGGCAACATGCTGAAGGTGATTCCTCCAGCTGCCTTCCAGGACCTGCCTCACCTCACGCACCTGGACCTGCGGCACTGCGGGGTGGAGCTGGTGGCCGAAGGCGCCTTCCGAGGCCTGGGCCGCCTGCTCCTCCTCAACCTGGCCTCCAACCGCCTGAGCTCGCTGCCCCAGGAAGCCCTGGACGGGCTGGGCTCGCTGAGGCGGCTGGAGCTGGAGGGAAACTTGCTGGAGGAGCTGCGGCCGGGGACGTTTGGGGCCCTGGGCGCGCTGGCCACGCTCAACCTGGCCCACAACGCCCTGGTCTACCTGCCCGCCATGGCCTTCCAGGGGCTGCTGCGCATGCGCTGGCTGCGGCTGTCGCACAACGCGCTGAGCG